TAGAAAGATTACTCAAAATGAATTGGATTATTTTGAAATTTCTCAGCCCTACAATTATTATGGAAATTAATTATTGGGTAAACTTTATTTTAATTCCTTTATTTAGAAAAGGAGCATCAATAAATTTTGCATCAATATTTTAATTAATACTTCGAAAAAATTCTCCTTCTAAGTGAATGATATACTCATAATTTTTTGAAAATTAAAATGAAATAACCTTTATTTTCAGCATCAAAAATAGTTAATTTATTAACTGATGTCATCGTTTAAAATGAAGCTTCATTTCAAGGAGGATGAATATGATACCTCCTACACGAAATGAATTTAAATTATATTAGTGAAAAGGTAACAATTTCATATTCATCTAAATTTCTGATTTATTAGAAACTAAATCTAAAGAAAAATTAATTGAAATTTTATGTAAAATTAAAAGAATAATTACCTATAATGCAACAAAATTCTGATTAATTCCTTAGAAAAATATTAAAAGTCCTTATGAGATTGGAATTTAGAATCTTTTCTATTACACAAACTTAAAGGGAGAAAATTATATGATGATTAAAAATTAAGATAAGAAATACAGCATAAGGTTGAGAGGAACTCACAGCGCAATATATTGTATTCTAATGACTTGTGAAGAGTAAAAATGAGAAATACAAGAAAAAGAAGTGATTTATTGAGTGGATAAGACTTTAAAAATAGGGTCAAATTTAGAATAATAAAATCAAGAAGAATTATCAAACTCTAAAAATCTTCTTCAAACAAAGAAATTAGTTTTTTACCGATTCTTCTAGCTCGTTCTCAATTAAATTCTATTTCTAATTTATGTTATTTTAGACTTTATTGATGATATTTTGATTGAAAATTTCAACTCTTAAATTATAATTTAATTTATGTAAAATGTTTTTTTCTTATTTAATTAGGGTTCAACTTTTCACTTTTCATTTATTTTGCCATTTTTTTTTTCTTCAAACTAAAGCAATATTTTAATTATTTATCTACTCAATTAGGCATTTGATGCAATGATATATATTCTCTTCAGGAGTGTTTTAGATCTATAGTTTATATTTCTAAGTTATGTTTTGGCGTTTATATATGTAATTATAGTAAGATATTAAATATTACTAATTCATTATTATTGATTACATCATTTTTTAATAAAACCAATAAGTTTCAATTCTTAATGATTTATTTCTTTATTGATATGATTCGCTACATGTAATTTCATTACTTTTGTGCCTATTCTTTTTGGATATAACCAAATGTAACTTTTATAATATATTGACAGTAAATCATTACTTATAAATGCAAAAGGGATTTCGCTTACATACATCATTCGAAGATATGAAAAGAAATAGAGATGCAAATTCTTAATTACTTGAGATAACAAATCATAAAAAAAATTTTAATCCAAAATATTTTTGATTGATTGAAAATAACAGTAAAAGACCAAGTTTAGTAATATAGTTAATACAAATATATAATTATTTATCTAAATTACTTCTAGAATGATTAAAATTTTAAATAATTTAAATTTTTAATAATCAATGTGAAAAAAGGAGTTGGAAAGTATACATTTATAAATCCAAAAATTAAAATTCTATTTTAATAAAATTAAAAAGTAATCATAACTTATCCACTAATGAAGTTTGATATACAGATCTAATCTAATGATTTATTGAATAAAATAGAATTAAAAAAAAGTATTAATACTTAAAACATTGGAATTATCTATTAAATTAAAACCAGGTAATTTTGAATTCCTTCATATATAACCCATAGATTATTGTCTTATTAATATTAAAAGAACAACATGATATATGATTTCTTATTTTTATAGATCAATGGGAAAACATTAGAATTTATAAGATTAGTTTTAATTTTGGATGATAAGAAAAATAATCTTCGATATATTAATTGAAAGACATCTAATAACTTTAGTGTATTAAGTTATACTATTCTTTAAGTAATTGATAAAATTTCAACATCGATACTTGGCAAGTATCAGCTCTTCAATTAAAATTTTAATGTTTATATACAATCAATTATCACCTTTAGTCTTCTTTCAAAATACACTAAAGAATAATTAATCACCAACATAATTCAACAATATATTTATTTTTCATTATATTTAACTTTTCAAATAAAAACTATAAAGATTTATTTCTTATAATCCAGATGATAAATTGAATAAAATTTATTAAAAATGAAAAGGGTTTTACTAATATAAATAAGAGCAAACTTTAAAATGTCATCGAATTGGAATAAATAATAATTAATCAACTCTATCAGATATTTTCCAAACATTCTTAAAGAAAATAATCATAAATATTTTTCCATAATGTTCACCAATATTTAAATTTGTACTTCTATAATATATATATTTTTCAATAATTATGAGGAAATAATTCTAAAGTTTATAGGATTATATAAGCAAAATGATGTTAATTTTTTCTATTAAATTAGCCAATTAAATCAAATAGGAGATAATCTATAAACTGTCTGTTTTTAAATATTTTCATTGAATTAACAATAATTTAATATATAAAGCAACTTAAAAAATTGAATATCTTATTATAATTAAATATATAAATGTAATCTGAAATCGATTTGAAATTATGTTCAAAGCATAACTTAAAAGTTTTGGCAATAGATTTTAAATAATCTACTGTCGATTAGGATAAATATCTGTGTATGAAGTGTCTAATGGAAAAAATCGACACTTAAGAAATTTTTTATTAGAGGAGACTAAAATAATGATAAATTAAATGAAGAGTGAATAGTTGAACAAAAAGGTCGAAGAGTATTAAAAAATGATTGAATCCTTTTAATAAATTCAATCCTTAGTGAAAGAATTGAAAATATCAATCAACAAAACAATAGAAAAAGTTTAATCTAACTTAAACCTAATAGAAAATGAACTGATGAAATCAAAACCAAATATTTAAGTTTCTTCTTTTGAAGAAGACATGAAGGTGTTATTGAAGAATTACAAAGATCCATATAGTTTTGAAGTTCCTTAGTAATTGTTAACATCTATTAATTACAATATCTACATAGAATCAATATAATAATAGTTAGAATCATTAATTAAATGTCCTATTTTTAATTAGATCTTTGAAGCATTATAAAAAATAAAAGTTGAGGAAGACTAATTAGAAGTTAAGCCATTCAAATAAATCTTTATTGAGGAAAGCCCATACGTAATTTCTAACTTATATATTAAATAGAAAACACCAGGTTTGAATATTTAATGTAATAAACATGGAAAGGAAATTATTATGTTTAACTTAAATCCTGAGAAAACTGAGTTTTCGAGACTTATTTGTGTGGAGTGTATATAATCAAATAATCCAATCAAATATACAACATTAATTGATACTAATATTCAATGGAATGAATATCTAGGATAGAAAAGTGTTAAGGTTTAACAATTTGAGCAATAAAGAAATTCAAATTCTACATAGATCCTTTAGATTCTTGAAGAACTTAAAGAAAAACACCATTCTACAATTTCAGACATTATCGATTAGATTAACATTAATTACTCAAAGATTGAAAAAAATGAGTTTTATTAGATTAATAACAAAAGTATCTACAATATGAGTATTGAATAACTTAATGAATTAGCTGAAATACTAAGCTAGAAAGATAAATTAAAAAATTTAACTGAAAAGCAATATAGCATTTAGAAAGAAGACTTTAATAAACTGGAAATCATATCAACTAGTTTAGGAAAATTATAAAGAAAAAGGTTAAAGGCGACTAATAAGATTAATAAAATTTACAAGGAATAATTTATAAATATTATTGAAGATAAAGATTAAAAAAATGAAATTTTACAAGAAGAAGAAAATGAAATTTCTAATTTGCAATAAATTAAGTAACTTAATTTATAACTAAAAAATTTAAAAATATTTTAGGATATCTTATAGGAAGCATAATCTTAGTATGAATCAGTAATTAAAACAATAAATGCTTTATCAATTTTATTTAAAAATTAGCAATTGTAGAAAGTAAATATATATAAATAATAATTAGTTTAATGAATATGTATTTTAGTTTGAGCAAGATTTTTCAATAATAAGAAAACTAAAATATTTTGATAATATAGAAGCTGAACTTAACCTATTGAGAAAAGATAATTAATCACTGTAAAATAGACTCACAGAAAGTGAAAAATAGAACTAATAAAAAATAATTGAAATAGACAAACAAAATATAGAATAAATGTTAATGATTGCACTATTAAGGGATCAAAAGGAAGTACTTGGAACAAAAGTAAAAGAACTTGAATAATAAAGTAATAATTAAATTTTTATTTGAAAGATAGATAAATTGAAGTTAATCTTAAAGAAAAACAATAATAGTTGGAAAGATTCTAACATTCAAATCAAAAGAATAAAAAAATAGTCAAATAATTATAATTAACTTTGGTAAAAGTAAAATCTAAATTTGAAGTTGAACTTGTAATTCTCTTAATAATTGACATTCTCAACAACTTATAAACATAATAATTGTTAAGTAACTTAAAATGGAAAAGTTATTGAGAATGATTCTGGTTAATGGAGTTGTTGTATGTGTGATTAAATGATTCCTAAGAATGGTATCATTTTATCTGCTTTTTAAATTATTGAAAATACTTATATTATGATTGGAATTGGTTTTAGGGATATTGTGTAGAGTAAGGGTTATAGTAATTGTCATTCTATTGGAGGAGGGTATGTTTATTATATTAATAGTTGATAAATAGAACATATAATATATATAATGAGGGTCATTGTTATAATCATGATTAATAAGATAAAAATGATAAATAGATATCATTTCCATTTTCAACAAATGATATTATAATAGTTGAAGTGGATATCTAAAAGAAATACATAAAATGGACAAAATAATCCACAAATCAATCATTTGTATCAATATCAAATTTTTATTATTAGACTCTGACTATTGATACATCCAAAGATTTATATCCATGTGTACATTTACATAGCAGATGTAAAATAAAGATATTAAATTAAATATTTAGATGATACAATAAAAATTTATACATAATTTTATCATTTTTTATAATAATAATTAATGATTTCTTAAATATTTTTTGATTTTGATTCATCTATTTTAGACTTATAGAATATAAAATTTAAAATAGCATCATTCACCATAAAATAGGTAACATATATGAGTATGATTTCAATTTATTATATAGTGATATTTAAAAATCTAAATCAATAATTAAAAATTTTCATGAATCATAAGTTGAAATTTAATATGATATTTCTTTTATGTATTAAAATTTATGAACGGATCTCTATAAAGAGCTTTAGCATATTTATTAATAGCCATTTAATTATTATTCACGAAGCCTTTGATATCCATGATTTTTTCTTTTTCATCAATGATAAATCCATTTTGCTTTCATTATTTATTCATTTATTTATATGATAGTTTTCATTATACTAATATTTTCAATTGGTACTTTGTAAGACAAGATGTTGCTTATCAATTAATAAGCGTTTAAATGTAATTTAGAAGAGAAAGCCAATATTGTTGATTTCATTAATTTTTAAAGATTCTCAGACAATTATGATATAGGTTAGCATTTTATTCTGCTCACTTTAAAGCATTTTGTTAATTTATTAAAAATTATTAATATTTCTATACCTATTCTTTAATTTTTTCTTCTACCTTAACAAAAGCATTTTACAACATCTATACCCATGAAGTAAGCTTATTTAAATATAATTGTTATTAATATAGAGTTCAATATTCTTATATTTTAATAAAGTAAAGGACATAACGATGGCAATGAAGCAGCTTAATAATAATAATTGCATTTGTAACTTAAGCTTATATGTAATTTATGTTAATTATATTTTTTATATTAAATAT